TCTTCTCCCTGGTCACGGATTCTACCAGTCATTTCCGCCAATTCCATATAGTCCATAAGTTTCATCTGCCATTCCTCCAGCGTGGGAAGTTCTTGTGTCTTCCAATACTTTGCGATGAGTATTCTTGCTGCTGTTGTTGCATACATAAAGAAAGTTCTATCCTTTTTTTAACACCATTTGGCCGACTATGCCCAGGAGAAAGGCCTCTGGTTTCTTAGGGAAGGTATACTTAAATAACTTTTTTAATTCATTATATATCATTTCCAAGAAAGCCTTAATCTTTGGGCACGACCACCAAAGGTGAAAAAATGTACCTTCAGTTTCTTTACATTTCCAACATTTGTTATCGGGCAAGTGATAGATTTTTGCAAGCTTGACTGGGGTTATGTACCACCTGTATGTCATTTTCATAATATTCTCTCTTAAGGCATTACATGCCGTAAATTTCATACCTGTGGCCCATAACCGTTCCCAGTCAGCAAACATAATATTATGTCCAACGTCCTGTGCCCATTTAATCATAGCCGATTTTACCGTTTCATCCTGAGTATTCCATTTCAGCAGCAAGTTGTACATTCTTGACAAATTCTTAGTTTTGGGTTCTAACAATTCTGTCTCCAATTTAGATCTTTCCACCTGGAAGCCAATTTTCCTGTCCAATTTAAATGCCTCCATTATCTGATAATAATGAAGCCAGTCTCGCACTTTGTTTTTTAGTTTTTCAAAACTCTGCAATTTCAGTCTATCTCCATCTTGTTCCAAAATTTCCCAATATTTCGGCCATTTGACCTCCATATTGGCCTTTTTCAAGGCTTTCGCTTCCATTGGTGACAGCCACCTTGGGGTTTTGTTCTCTAGCAAATCCTTATATCTTAACCAAACATTGAATAACGCTTTCCTGACAATATGATTTCTAAATGCTTTGTGTGCTTTGACCTTATCATACCATAGATATGCATGCCATCCAAATACATTGTTAAAACCTTCCAAATCCAAAATGTCAGTGTTTTCAAGAAGTAGCCATTCTTTCAGCCAGCAAAAAGCTGCTGATTCATAATAAAGTTTAAGGTCTGGCAGGGCAAATCCACGTCTTTCCTTTGCATCTGTTAGTATTTTAAATTTTATTCTAGGCTTCTTGCCCTGCCAGACAAATTTAGAGATATCTTTCTGCCACCTCTTGAAGCAATCCATTTTGTCCACTATCTGCAAAGTTTGAAACAAAAACAACATTCTAGGCAATACATTCATTTTTATCGCAGCAATACGGCCCAGCAGTGAAAGCTTCAAGTTTGACCAGGTTTCTAAATCTTTTTTCACTTCAGACCAGCATTTTTCATAGTTATCTTTAAATAAGTTCCCATTTTTTGCTGTCATGTTAATCCCCAAATATTTTACTTTCTTAACCACTGTTAAACCTGTCTCGTTCTGAAACCTCTCTCTTTCAATCGGTGTTAAATTTTTCTCTAAAACCTTGGTTTTTGACTTATTCAATTTAAATCCTGCCACTTGACCAAATTCTTGGATCAGTTCTAAGACCCTTTTAGTACTAGATTCTGGCTCCTGTAACGTCAGTACTAAGTCATCTGCAAACGCTCTCAATTTGTACTGTTTAGTTCCGACCTGTATACCTTTAACCAACTGGTCCCTCCTAATCATATTCAGCAAAACCTCCAGGACCGAAATAAAAAGAAGTGGGGAAATTGGGCAACCTTGTCGTGTCCCTTTTTCAATTTTAAGTTCTTCCGTCACAACATTATTTACAATTAGTTTAGCCTTTTGTTCTGAATAAATTGCACTTATACCATTCTCAAAACCTTGGCCTACCCCCATACCCTGTAGATTCTTCTTCATAAAATTCCAAGAAATATTGTCAAAGGCTTTCTCCGCATCTACAAATATCAACACTGCTTTAGTGTTTATATTCACTTCTAATTTTTCCAAAATATCAATTATATTCCTCAAATTGTCAGACAAATGTCTTCCTGGGAGAAAGCCCGCTTGGTCTTTATGAATCTCTTCCATCAACACTTTTTTAAATCTCTTCGCCAAAATGTCTGCAAAGATTTTGTAATCCACATTAAGTAGTGATATAGGGCGGTAGTTCTTAAGCTGTGTCTTTTCAGTCTCTGTTTTTGGTACAAGTGTGATATATGCTTCTTTCCACAACTCTGGTGCTCTCTTCCCCTCCATTATTTCATTACAGACCTCTTTCAGAGGTTGAATTAACCATTCTTTTAAAGATCTATAGTATCTAGAAGTCAAGCCATCTGGTCCTGGAGATTTACCCAGTTGCATGTTTTGAATGGCACCTTCTATTTCCTGTTCAGTTATTCTGTCATTCAAAATTAGTCTATTTTCTTGAGATATTTTTGTAATCCATTTGTCTTCAAAAATTGGTCTAAATCTGTTTCTTTCAATGGCCCTTGAGTATATAATCGTTTAAAGTACCTCTGGAAACAACTTCTGATCTCTGCTGGGTTCTGTATATTTCTTCCTTCCACTTCTAAGTTCGTAATCGTATTTAATTTTTGTCTCTTTTTCATTTGCCATGCCAACAATTTGCCACATTTATTAGCCGACTCAAAAGTCTTTTGTCTCATTTGTTTAATTTTCCATTCTATTTCCTGATTCATCATTTTCATATATTGTACTTGATATAACTTTAACTCTCTCAAAATCTCTTGAGATTTGGGATTTACTCTCAGTCTTTTTTCACATTCATTTATTTTGTCCATTATTTTATCCTTCTTCTCATTTTGAGTTCTTTTCTTTATCGCATTCTGTTGTATTAAGAACCCTCTCATAACCGCTTTACTTGCGTCCCAGATTACTCTTTTCTCCACATTGGTACTGAGGTTTATCTCGAAGTAATCTCTCAGAGTTTTTTGGGCCTTCTTAAGAAATTCTTCATCTCTAAATAAGGTGTCATTCATCTTCCATCTGAAGGAACCAGTTGGTGTTAGTCTCATTTCCATCTTAACAGCATTATGGTCGGAGCAAATTTTCGGGCAGATTTCCACCTTTCTTGTCTTTGGTGCCATTCCTCTAGTTATCCAAATTTGGTCAATTCTTGTCCATGTCATTTTGGCTTCAGAAAAGAAAGTTCCCTCTTTAGCCATGGGATTTCTTATTCTCCAAATGTCCACTAAATCCAAGTTGTCTGTCATGTCAAAAAAGGTTTTCGGTAGTCTACCATCCTTGGTGACTACCTGTCTTTGTGCCTTGTCCATATAAGTAGATACCACTCCATTCATATCTCCCATCAGAATCGTGTTATAGTCCATATGGTCCATCAGGGTCTCATGCAACTTCTTAAAAAAATCAGATTTCCCATCATTTGGTGCGTAAACTCCTACAATCAGAAATTTTTCTCCTTGTGTTTGAATTTCAATTGCCACAAATCTTCCTTGGTCATCTTTAAAAACAAATTTCGGTGATAAATTGTCTTTTGCATAAATCACAACCCCTCTCTTTTTAACTTTGTCCGACGAAATAAACTCTAAATTCTAGCACTTACTGGACCCAGGAATTTAGGGGAGTCTGGCACCTGCAAACTCATAACAATATGATAGCTGCAGCTATTTAACAAATTAGGTTATTACTGTTTAGTTGCTGTGTCATGTTTTGTTGTTATTGACGTTCATGCTGCAAAGGAATCGTGGCTTCAATTCTGACTCTACAGATTTGAGGACTTTCATCCACTCGCGTCACTGAAGGTTCAGCTCTCCTGAATATATTTACTGCTGTTGTTGGGCAACTGGTACATTCCATTCTCCTTGTCAAGTTCATAGGGGCGGACCCTGCATCACAAATGACAACAGTGAAGTTGGCACAAGTAGAACTGGAAGGAGGTTGATTTATAATGAGTTTTATGGTGTGACTGGTGGTTGGGTGGTATCTTTTCACTCAGTGGCCTTGATGCCTTTGTGCATTCCTTCCTGTGTGCTTTCCAGGTAGCGTGTGCAATGATGGCCACAGGAACAAGATCCCACTTCCAACATTTTTATCAACTGCCTTAGGAGCAAGCTCTACTGGGAAATCATCAAGAGGCTGCAGGCTTTGAATTCAGCTGTGGGTGCCTCCAGACTGCCACTATTTTGCAGGAGTGTTTCAAGCAAGTACTGTACTGTGAATTTTGGTTTGTGTAATCAAAGGGGATTTAAGTGCTCAGTTGCATGGGCATAGCCGGGGAGGGGGGCAGGGGACAGCTGCCCCCTAAAATCAAATAAATAAATAAAAATATTTAACTAACAGCTCGGTTCTACCCCTCCCCTTCAACATCAAGCCTGGCTATGGCCATGTTCGGTAGCCCTTGTGCAACAAATCCACTTTAGAAATGAAATGGACTTTGGGACAGTTTGGAAAGTGATGTGGCAATGCATTGAAAAATATGGGATGAATGAATGAGCAAATGAAGAGAGCTGCTCATTGTTGTATAGCCTCCCTGAAAACAAATCAAAACAAATGCTCAATAAAGACCGGGTATAGTATGACCTCTGTGTAAGCTCTGCATATAAAGATCAGGATGAATGCTCCATAACTAGAGTTGCTTAGAGGAGCTCAGTGTCTTCCTATAGCTAAAATGTGACCAAACTGCTAGCAAATTACAACTGTGGAATGAATACTAGCAGGATTATACGCACCCTTTGCTGGTAATATGTGTTAAAAGTTTCCTGCACTTAAGGCACAGATAGGACACTAACAAATTGTTTGGTTTGGCCCAAGGAGTCTTCCATTTCTGTTCCAGTCACTGGCCATTAGCATCCTAGGCAGGAAAGGTTTGTGAGTTTATGCTGGCAGCAGAAGAGTACAGGAAGCATTTATTGTCAGTTCCTGAGCAGTGTTTTGATTATAAATTAATCTCTTGAGATATTACGGCAGCTGCAAATGGTTAATGAGTATCATAATACTACCTGCTTCTTTTCCTTGTCCAAAGGCCAATTGGGTCCCTGAGCCTATAAAACTCTGACGCTGGAGCGCTGGAGCAGACCTACCCAACACTTGAGACTGAGGCAATCTGCAAAGATGTCCAAGAACATCTTCTCATTTCTCCGCTTGCTTGTGCTCTTGCTGGGCTTTGCCTTCATCTGCCTAGGAGCCTATTGCTTCTCTACAAGTGCCTCTGCTTGCAAGTGCAATAGTTTGCCTATTGCCTACTTCCTATTACCCTTGGGTTTCTTTTTTCTCATCTCTGGGATTTTCTGGAGCACTTATCATGAAGCTAGTAAGCACAAGGGCTTATTCCACAGCCTTATACATGGAAGTCCCAGACTTCAAGAGACACAGATTAGTACCATAGACAGGTATGTTCCATGTATTGCATTCCAACGATTGGCCTTTGATTCCTTTCCACTTCTCATGAAATACTTTACAGCACTGCCTATGGTATACTCCTCTTCAGTTTGCTCTGTTAAACTTATCTGGTCCTTGACCTTCTTCTTTCTGTGTTATGTTCAATTATATCATTGAGTAGTTCACTGTTTCTTATTATGTAGCCCATCCTACATGATTGTGTCTTCATCATTTGCACTGGTTCTTGTCCCGGCCCAATATTTCTTCTTTGGCTTCCCTTTCTATCTAACCCACCTTACACATGCTTTTCCAATGTCACATTTCAAATGTTTCCAGACTAGTTTCCATTCTTCTATTTTTCACATGTCATATATATGTTTCATATATTTTTATATAAAAATTGTGTTTGAGAGGTAAGCTTACACCTCCTGCCATCAGGCATTTCTTCTTTAAAAATGTCAATTTTGCCATGTATGTTCTGCTTTTAGTTTTTAGCTTGTATCTACCTTCCTCTGTTATCTGGATTCCTGGTTACTTAATTCTTTTGCATTTACTCAAAACACACACATACACACACTGCAACAAGTAGTTTTCTACTTGCCATTTAAAAATCTTTATTTTATTGTCATTTATTTTTAGGCTGCAAAACTGAATTCTTAAGTATGTTCTGCAGCTTTCCTTCTGTCTCTGCTATTACTGCCATATGCACCAAATTCATTTCCTTCTCATTACTTTGAACCCTGAGTCTGCTAGTGCAGTATTTTATTAATTGTATGTCTACAAGTCTTTCCTTCCTATAGCTTACTATATAAGCGTATATAGATGGCAATATGAAGTGACTTCATGGGCTATAGTGTCTGGAATATTTGCCACCACATAAAGTGCTCTGTTATGCAAAGTCCTGTGTTGTGAGGAGTGCTGGTATGTAGGAAGACCAAATCCTGTTCTCTGCACAGACCAAAATCACTGGATGGCTGTGGCTGGGTGGTCTAGCTAGCTAGAGATTGTTATGAGCATGAAAAAGACCCACATTGTGCTCCTTGGGAAAAGGGTAGCATATGCTTGCTTAGTCTCTCTAGATCAGGAACATGCTGCACTGCATGGAGCTGAGCTCTTTGTTTTAGTGGTGTTCAACAAAGGCTAAAGTTGCTCACTTTTATCTGCTCAAGCTGCTTTTGAGATTTCTGGGTAAGAGTCTCTGCCATTCCGAGAGCGAAGACCGATGCACTTAATTAAGTTGGCCTCCAGCCTGGCAGAGTTTGTTAGTGGGTCATGGATACAAATGTCACTTCCTGTTCTGTTGTGGTAACGGGACCATAAACAATAGGCAAAGCAGAAGCTCTATAAAAAGGATGTGGCACATGCCATGGTCTAGATAACCATGAAGACTGAACACTTCAAAAGAGCTTGCACCCTGCACTGCAAAATAAATCACCCTGCAGAAATAAGCTTGGGCAGAATGTACATTTTCTGTTCACAAAGAGGGGCAGAAGAAAGGGACATATCAACTGAGCAAATGTAAGGATCACCATTCCTTGGTCAAGCTTTATCACACTGTCATAAGAATATATTATTACTGGACACCCCAATCTTTGCAGTTCACGAGATTCCACGTGTATTGCCACTTAACCAGGGTTTTTGTTTCCTTCTTAAAATTAAGGCACATATTTACAGCCTAAAGTCGTTAATGGAGGGGGTGCAGAACATTACACTTCAAGCTTGAGTCCAGTGCAGCTTCTCCCAGCCAACATGCATGGAGTTCTCCCCACTGTCTGCTTCTTCTTTCCAGAAATCATTAGACCTGTCACCCTGGGTTTCAAAAGCTGCCTGCAAAAGGCACTTTTTCCTGTGCTGCCTGTAACCCTGGCAATCCCGGTTTCAAAGATTCAAGGATCTTCCCTTGAAAGGCCATCATCACTGTTGTTGTTTCTTCAACAATCGCTGGATTGTTTCCAGGCTGGCCTCAGGAGGAAGGGAGTTGGGTATATTCAGGAATTTATCAGTTTGCTCAGATTCTAACCCTTTATTGAATCTAGGGGTTTGGGAGGTGGTCCCCCCACAACTGCTAACAAATCAGAGCTCTGAAGGCCTACAACACAAAACTTCCCACCCAATTCCTTCCTCCTCAGCCCCCACTCCTCTTCACTTACTTTAGATCCTTTTGGTGCCTGACTGAGGTTCTTGAAAATGGTGGTAAGGGGTCCTACCTGTCTAGATTTTGAGTAGAACAGAGAATGTGGTGAGCAGATATGGGCCGCAGGTGGTTGCAGACTATTTTTATAAACAGTGAATAGAGACTGTCAGGATTTCAAGACAGAACCATTTTAAGCAGTGTGTGGTTTTTTGTCTCGGCTGTTTTTTGTGCAGGCCTGACTTCTACCCACCATCATACGAAGATAGCACTGATCCCGAAAAGCAGACTTTTGCACTGCCCATCTGCCCCCAGGAGCAAGTCAAGGACATGTACAACATACCTCCACCTCTTTATACAGAGAGCAGCCTGGAATTCCTGGAGGAAGCCAGCCCTCAGGAACAGCGGCCGCCTTCGTATGAAGTCTCCGTGCGGCAGGCTGCAGAACATAACTTGACCACGCGTGAAGAGCCTTGCTGCACATCCGTGTCACAGGTCAGCTGCTGAGGGAACAGCCTTGCCAGAGGACGTGAGGCAGAGATAAGCTGTGCCTGCTATTTTGGGAGAGCGGCTGGGGTTAATGCACAGGATGCAAAGTGTAGTCGAAGTGAAGAGAGGCAAGCACTGTTCTATGCAATGGAGTGAAGACAGTAACTGCAGTAACTTACAGAAAGCCTGGGTAAAGTTGCTAAAGTTTTGAAGAATGTTGCTGAGTCCAGTCCAGTATTGCTGGCTAGCTGCAATAACTGGGTATGTTTGTTTACATTGTTGTAGCTTTATTCTGCCTATGCTAGGGTCAGGCCTTGCTGTCATTTCCTATCCTGTAAAGATCAACAACAGTAGCAGGAGGAAGTGCCCATCAGAGGGAGGGGCCTTCTCAAAGGAATGACAAAAGAAACCCCCAGGCAAAGCACTGTTGAATGAGGCATGCACTCACACAGAGAGAAATAAGCTCTGCTGCTGCTTTGGGGAAAGGGCATTTGTATGAAGAAGTCAACCAGCAGTTTCCAATTATGCAATTTTCCTACACCTGTTTATCCAGTGCAACTGCCTCTCAGAAATGGGCGAGGCGGCAGAGGGGCTCCCTAAACAGAGTTGACAGCACATGGATTTAAATGGCCAGTTGGAGAATGAAGGCCATGGACACTTGCACTGCGAGAGAAATTGCATTCATGCACCCTAGGTCCATATGCAATATTTTAAATCACATTTCTTTTTTTTGCATCTCCTGTGGAGTTTTGACATCAACTTAATAGAAAACAATCATTGCAAACTTTGGAGGATGATCAATAATCCACAGTTAGCTTTTGTTATTTTACCATGATGTACTGTTACTGAGGTAACTAGTTTACATAATGTTTAATATTGCATTGCATTTTTGTTTTTCTTACAATAAATTTTGTACTTGAAAACTCTTCAAAGAAAAGTGGCATTTGTTTGATTGTTGCAAACAATAATTTGCTCTGTCTCATGGACTGCCAAAAACCACGAGACAATGATTGAAAAAGTAGTCCAAAATATTTATTTCTGCACGAAAGTTTAAATTTACTATCCAAAGTATGTACACAGTTCCTCTTACACCATTTCCTTATAAGGCACTTAACCCTGTAATTGCTCTAAAGTTACTACAGTGGGAAGCATGCGTACTAGATACCATTTTAGACAAAGGAGCTTCCTCGTGGTCTGCTAGAATTTTATTGCAGGATTAGATTTCACCTCCAGTTACCAACCACATTCCTTCTGAGCATGCTCAGTAAGTCGAAACCTTATATGGTACGATTATTTATAATTCTACTTCATGAGGAAAGGCAGTTTAGCAGAATAAAGAAATTCTGCAAAGCCCTTTAGTGGAATGTCTTCATAGGCATTCCTGTATCTTCCTGCATCTTCTTTCATCTTACCACTATGCAAGAATTCCAGCCCTTCCAACCCTCTTCCAAAACTACATGCATCAAGGCAAAATGTCCAGGGAACCAATAGCTTGTCAATGTTTCAAAAAAATCCCAAGCAGAATAATGCAGGTAGAATTCTTACTTTGGAGGCTTTCCCTTGAGTTCCAACATCATTACACAAGGTCCCTAGTTCAAGGAGTACAAATTAATAAATAGGGTTGTAAGACTGTAAAAACTTGACAAAAATAGGTCTATGGCTAGCAGCTGATAGACTGTGCAATAATAACCTTAAAAAACCCTGATGTACATGGAAATGCAAACCTAGGGCTCATCCAGGCTTCCTTTTGTGCCGCTTTTCTAGGCACAAGTCCGGCCTTTAAATCTCTGTGTTGGAGTGTTGGTATATTTTGGTCCTGCCACTTTCCCTGGGAAAACCTATGTTTTACCGCTGAATTGGAACAAGCAGCAAACAGCAGTTCCGCTTATAAGAGCAAACCTGTGCCTGGAAGGCGTGATGCAAAAGGAAGTTGGATGAGCCTGCAGGGTGTAATACAAAAGGTCCCTGGCTCAGTGGGACAGAAAGTGGTTTGGATGCATGAGGCCCAAGTAGCCAGCGCAGGAGCTCTGCATCTGTGTGCTCTTAAGCACAGGGCTATTTTTTTAAAGTGCCCCTTTGCCACTTACTATGGGGCTTTAAGTTAGCAGTGTTTACACAGACTCAGTGTAATAATGCTGGTCTAGAAGGACAACAATCTGCTTCAATAGAAGGCAGTTTGCCATGTTCCTAGATTCGTCTCATAAGTTCCTATAGCAGTGAGCAGTCAGGTTATCCTTGTGACAGCACTGTAAATTAAGAGTGAAAGCAACTTAGTAAATGCAATGCTCCAGAAATCCATGAGCAAATCCCCCAAACCTCTTATACCATATGAACATTTAAATTCATTCTCACACTAGGAAGCAGCTAAAATGTGATACTGAGCAGACCTGTTGTCCATTGCCCAGGCCTGGCGGGTCCAGTAGAAGCTATGGCTTTAGCAGTGAAGCTGCTCAGACTGGGAGCTTATATAGGAGCTTGAGGCTCTACTCCACCTTTCTTGTCTTTTAGCCAGGCCCTGATCCAAGCAAGTGTCTCCATGTGCTTCACTTTCCTCCTAAGCAACTAAGCTAGGCACGGTGATGGCTCTGAAATTCCTGTCTGGCTCACTATCCCCTCTGCTCCTGCGGCACTTGGGAGATGGATGTGTGTGTCTGAGTCGATATATATAGGGCCATTGTTACAGCACAGCAAATAAACAACTTGCTACAGAATGATGAGCTATGGATGTACAAGTACTATACAGACAGGAACCATAACACGTTTTTAGATTTACAAAAAAAGATGTTTAATAATACTGCAATAAAACACTGTGCTTTTAGAAGTGAGAAAACAATCAGTGCTTCATTTACTTAGGCACAGCTAAAAAAACCCTGTGCTGCATTAGGCCAAGCTGTGTCTTATTATCAGCAATTTCATGCAAGGCAAAAATATGGCATTTCATTTTATTCAATGTCATAGTAAGTTTTGACAAATATCAGAATAAACCAAATCCCTTTCTGAAAGCACAAGATCACTCAGATTGCACTAAAAAGGAACATTTGGCAATTGCAATTAATATTACTAGGCTGCTAAAATATCACAAAGTCATCTCAACAAATGACAAGCAAAGAAAAGCATTCAAAGGAGTCACATGCACAAATAGTTCTTATCATTTCAGTGTCGTGTGCCATGGCTGGAGCCTTCATGTTCTTCCGTAGCCACAAGAACCATTTGGTGTACCCAAACATTCTTTCCTCTGCTGCATCTGTTCCATGATATGTCATGCTATGACCCTCTGATAAAGCATGTGGTCCGCTTTCAGACAGCTAAGTGAATTAGAGAAGTGCCTGAACTAAGTTCCGGAGAGTTCTTCCTGAAAAAGCCCTGCTTAGAACTATGCATCACTTCCTTCATTTCATTTTGTGCTGGCATTTAAAGGAATCACATAAGCATGAAACATGAGGATGTTGTACCAGGACTTCAACATTTCGCTAATGTCTCTTATCTGCCCAGAATTGTTCTTCCCCTAATCTCAGAGGATTAACCCCACCATATTTCCAATATCTGAGGGCATATGACCCCTTTAAAAAGTTAGTTTCTGCAAGTTCAAAACAGTATGTTGGAAAAGTCTCTGAGTGTTCAGCTATTATGCACTTCTATAACCAGAGAGTACAGTGGTACCTTGGGTAACAAACACTTCGGGTTACAGACTCGGCTAACCCGGAAGTAGTACCTCGGGTTAAGAACCTTGCCTCAGCATGAGAACAAAAATCGTGCACCACCAGTGTGGTGGTGGTGAGAGGCCCAATTAGCTAAAGTGGTACCTCAGGTTAAGAATGGTTTCAGGTTAAGAATGGACCTCCGGAACAAATTAAGTTTGTAACCAAAGGTACCAATGTAATGCCAATTTAGTCCCAGAACTCTGTTAAATCAGCATGTGATAACTGAACACTCCAGGCAGAGACAGTCTTTTGAATGTGCAGCATGGCTTTTTAAAGGGATCCCATGACTCTTCCAGCGTAGTAAAGTCAAACTCTGCCAATTACTCAAACGCAAAGAAGTGGAACACAAATTCATCTTGGGAGACAGTATCTGAATATTTTGAATCCAATTTATAATAGCTCATTTATTTAAAAGTGGGGGGGAGGGAGCGTGCCAGCAGTCTTTTCAAAATGTGTAAAATCTAATGACAGACAAGGGTCTCTGCCAAGACAGCTGCAGTGGCTAAATACTAAAGAAGGAGGCCTCCTTCAGGATTGTTTAGTAACCGTAACATAGCTGGTATATCCTTTGAAAGAAAAGAAGGGAGGTTGGGAAGGGGGCTGGGTGGGAAAGGGTAACTTTCATTCATCAAAGAGTTGGCTGGATGTCTATTTTCTTCCTTCACATTTTAAATTCAAAAGTCTCAATTGCACAAACTGTGCATGAGTATAGTAGATGCCAGGTTTCAAATAGTGTATAAAACAGTGCTTGTTATTCATGATAAATCAGGGAAATAAAGTACAGTGGTACCTCAGGTTACATACGCTTCAGGTTACATACGCTTCAGGTTACAGACTTCGCTAACCCAGAAATAATACCTCGGGTTAAGAACTTTGCTTCAGGATGAGAACAGAAACCGTGTGGCAGCAGCAGCAGCGGGAGGCCCCATTAGCTAAAGTGGTGCTTCAGGTTAAGAACAGTTTCAGGTTAAGAACAGACCTCCGGAATGAATTAAGTACATAACCAGAGGTACCACTGTATCTGCTTAAAGTTGCAATACTATGCATACTTACACAGCCCAAAGGATACATGCAGAGGGTTGGGCTACACATGCCAGTAAGGATTAGAACAGCCCTATGTGCAGCTCCTGCATATATGGCATTGCTTTCCCACATTCATTGACACACTGCTTTGTGTGGTGCATCTTGGGCACTGAACGTCACCTCTCAGCAGCTGAGTCTTCCAGTCAGCTGCAGTGACCAACAGCCTTGTTTCTAGTTCAAAATAGTGAACTGCCCCTTCCCAAACTGTGTTTGGAAAACAACTCCTTTTGCTTCTGAGCCTTTTCAAAGCATGACAGAACATTTCCATACTTACCATGAGTACTTTCTTTTTGAATTAAAGCTGAGGATTCTCAAAAGGCTAGATTGCAGAGTATGCAGCCTGCTCCTGCTTTGCAAATGCAGAGCATGAGATTTTTCTGCCACACTGGCATTTTGCAATAACTGAGTTTTAATATAAAATGAACTTTTCTCTTTGGTTATTTATGTGTACAATAAGATGCTGAAGCCATAGCACAGAAGCAAATGCACTGCTGTCTTAGTGATCAGCACTGAATTTTGCTCCCTCCCACCTCCCTCAAACCCTTCGAATAATATAAGGCAAAAAAATGAATATGATTTGACAAGTCTTCTTTCTCCCTTCCCCTCTCAATTTTGGCCCGGGGTTAGCGATCTTTCCTTGGTTCAGGTGATGACGGTAGGACCCTTACGACCTGTCCTCTCATGAATCTGGGATATTTTCAGCGCAATTGCTATGAGAGGACTCAGTACAGCCTAAAGAAAAAAAGAAAAAAGAAAAATGGCTTAAAGGAAGACATAATAATGAATTTACACTTTTAAAAAGCCTTTCTGTTAATATATTTTTTAATCAGTGGTGGCTCATATGCTAACACTGCAATCCAAATCCTCATTGTAATGCAATGGTGTGTGTGAGTTGGGCTTCCACCCACACTGTTGCTCGCTACCGGAGGATTTTTCTGTTCCACTAGGGTGCTCTGGATGGACTGAGCTAGCCTGGGATCTGCAGATGCAGAGCCAGCCTCCCTACCATCCTGTGACACCATCAGGTCTGATTTGGGCTGATTGCTGCTCTAGCTGCAGGCTGGCACAGCAAGTGCTTGCAGTTTCCAAGTCAGCCAGCAGGGCTGTGCATACAACATGGGCCTATCAGTTTGGATTACAGCATAAAAGAGCAGGAAGTTCATGGACATACAAAGAGTGTTTACATAAAATTACAGTAACACACAGCTCCACAAGGGCAGACGTGCATTTGTAATGCCAAATATTACAAATTTCCCCTGCCAGATAAAGAGTCCATTTACTCCATCACACTTGCAAGTTACCTAGGATTCAATCCTATATCCACATAGGATTGTTGGTGAAAAGCAAATGCATTTCCTTCTCTTGAGTTTGTCGTTAATGTATGCATTACTTTAAACCACATGAGGGCACTGTTTGCCTAGCAATCTAGCCAGTACTTGTGTGGAAAGCATGGCCTCCATGGGGCTGTCCCTGAATAAATTTGGCCCAACTCATAGCCGCGGACATGCCTTAGACTTGGTGTTTACCTCTACTGATGTTGGTGATCTGACATTAACTAAAAGTGAAACAAAAGAAGTGCCATGGTCAGATCACTTCCTGGTGCAACTGGACTTCTCCGCAACCCTTCCCCTCTGCAGGGAGGTGGGACCGATTCGCACGGTCTGCCCCCGCTACTTAATGGATCCAATTGGCTTCCAGAGAGTGGTAGGGGATGTTTTATCCCAAGCTGATGGCCTTTCACCTGATTCCCTGGTGGCCCGCTGGAATGCGGAGTTAACCAGGGCTATTGACTGTCTGGCTCCGAAGCGCCCTCTCCGATTGCATGGAGCCCGGACACCCCCGAGGTTTTCCCCGGAGCTGAGGGCGATGAAACAATCACTGAGACGGCTAGAGCGCCGGTGGTGGAAAACTCACTCTGAATCAGACCGGACACAGGCTAGAGCTCAACGTCAAGCCTACCAAGTGGCAATGGCGATGGCAAAGAGGGCCTTCTTCACCACCTCTATTGTATCTGCAGAAAACAGCAGCAGGAGACTTTTTCAGGTGGTTTGCAATCTATTGGAACCACCTGCACCACCAGGGCCTGGTGATCTCCTGCAATGCTTTTGCAAAGTTTTTTGCAGATAAAGTCGCTCAGATTCAGAAGGAGGTAGACTCCACCATGGGAGCAGGGCCAGGGCAGGAGAGTGCTAGCGTTCTGTCTAGTCTTGTTACATGGGATCAATTCCAATCTGTTACCTCCGAGGATGTGGACAGGCTGCTTGGACAAGTGAAACCGACCACCTGTCTCCTTGATCCTAGCCCATCCTGGCTGATAAAAGCGAGCCGGGAAGGGCTGGGCAATGGGCTCTGCGGGGTGGTGAATGCTTCCCTCTGTGAGGGAGCCTTCCCAGACCCGCTGAAAGAGGCGGTCATTAAACCGCTTCTTAAAAAAACATCTTTAGACAAGATGCCTGTTATTTTCTCCCTCCCTCCCACTCATCTCAAAAATAGTTCCTCCATGAATAAAGCCTCTGAACTCCAGAAACTGTAAGTAATTATTCTAGTCTAATTCACTTAAGATGCAAGGTCTGCTGAAAAGGATCACACTGCTAAGAGTGTTTCATCAATTCCAACCCATGTAATTTAGCAATCTAAAGTGTTCCGCCTTTCTCTGGCTTGTGCTCAAAGTGTAGATGCAGATCTGAGCTACCAGGGTTTTTGTAATTCATGTTAAAATCAGGAAAGGATTTTCAGTAGCAAAAAGCCAATGAGAGCAGGTGTATGGCACCACATATACAGCCTGAACTACAGCTAGCTACATTATTTGTTTGGGCTCTATTTGTGACCCAGAATGCTCTCTATGTTTTGTTCTGCCAGAAACACAGCTCTTGTGTATAATATAGGAGAAGGCTTGGGTATCATATCAAAATGCCAAGTTGTCCCCAGATGAACAGCAAGCTGGGATGTAACTTGAGGACACAAATGTGGGAGGTGCGAAAAAGGCAGGCAGTCCTTATGCGATGTCAATTATGCTAGCAAGGAATTGCATGGAATCAAGTTGAGGATATCATGCCAGCAACACCTCACTGGTTTGCTTTTCAAAGGTTTTGTGCAATTGGGCAGGGTCCTTCCACTACCAACAACACATACCACTTTATCTGCCAAGTACTTTTATGATCAACATGCAGAACACAGGCTTGTAAAACAACTAACCATATTTTGTCCTCCAGGGGAAAAAGGGTTCATTTTTTTTTTTTGAATAGTAGAACAAATTGTGGGAATTCTCCCATGCAAATACACAAACTATATGGTCTCCAGGGATGATTAAATGGAAAACAACAACAACAGTAATCTCCAAGCTTTGCCATTGCCAGTTTTTTAATTCCTACATTTGCAAGTTCTACTGGGGATGAGAAGACTTTATAGCATGAGCCAGTTGTGATTACTTGAAGTACCATCTGCAAGACATTAAGTGTTTGTCTCCTTTGATATCACTCTTTCTCACAAAATCCAACAGTAATACACCCAACAGAGCAACCCTATTAATTCAATGCCACAATTATGATAGGATTTCATTCCCACTCTGTGGAGCTAGGATCTGCTGTCAGCCAGCTGAACTTTGTATGTGGACTATTAGCCTTAGAGTTCTCTCTTAGTTAAGTAGAAAAGAAACACAGCTGCAGCTGTATAATATTGGCCAGAGACACTCCATCTTGTCACAAATCAGAAGCGGGCAGCTTACACACCGGCCTACACACAACTGTGAAGAATATCAAGAAAAGTGGAAGTGCTACAGTAAGTTTATATTTTGATTTATGGTGTTTTATGTAGCAATTGCTTCAGGGTGGTTTGTTCATAAATGAAAGGTCTCATAACTGAAATGAACTTCAAAAGAAATACATGGCTAAAGAGTTTCAAGTATCAATTTCATATGGCACTGACTTATGGCTCCTTATGGCAGCTTTCAAAACCGTGATCCCTTAGAAACATTTCAAACCAAGTTTTATCGTTCCCTACTAGAGATCCCTTCTTACATGTCTAATATAGCTGTCCACTTGGAGGTCGGTCAAATCCCTGTTAGTGCTCGTATATGGATCCTGAAGATCCATTACTGGATAAAACTCTTCTTTCCTGTCAGGCTGGCATCCTTAACCCTATCAATCACTATCAATCAAAATGGAAAACTACATTTTATGAAAAGCTAAAAGGCTTGGGGTTTTCGTCACAGGCACTGATAGCCACAGGTTACGAGAAAGCCAGAGCAACAATTCGCCATTGAATCTGGGATGTAGAATTTCAGTGTCATATGAGTGAAATGAATAAGCACTCAGCAATCAAAGACAATGGTTTTGCCCCAGAAATTTATCTGTCAAAATTACAAATATCTAAATATAGACGGTCGTTCACCCTCACTAGATTCAACATGCTGCCATCTGCCTTACTGCAGGAGAGCTATGTAGGTAAATCATATGCGGAGCGAGTCTGCCCCTGTGGCCTGACATCATAGCATGTCTTGCTATGATGTCGATTTTATGAGGATATTCGCTTGGTCTTTCTGTTATACAGAAGATTCCAAGTGGGTCTGAACCTCAATGCTTAAAATCCCTCATAGAGGATAGGGACCTAGAGATCACGCTAAGGGTGGCCGAATTTTGCGCAGCTGCCATAAAACTCAGGGAAGAAGCTGTGCTATTACAAAGACTAAGGCCTCAGATACAAACTCTAGATAATATTTTAGATTAAGACCTAAACCACATTTCTAATGGCTGTCATATTCATATTGTTTATTGTCATAAAGGTAAAGGGACCCCTGACCATTAGGTCCAGTTGTGGCCGACTCTGGGGTTGCGGCGCTCATCTCACTTTATTGGCCGAGGGAGCCGGCATCCAGCTTCCAGGTCATGTGGCCAGCATGACTAAGCTGCTTCTGGCGAACCAGAGCAGCACACGGAAACGCCGTTTACCTTCCCGCCGGAGCGGTACCTATTTATCTACTTGCACTTTGACGTGCTTTCAAACTGCTAGGTTGGCAGGAGCAGGGACTGAGCAATGGGAGGTCACCCAGTCGCGGGGATTCGAACCGGGACCTTCTGATCAGCAAGTCCTAGGCTCTGTGGTTTAACCCACAGCGCCACCCGCGTCCTTGTTTACTGTCATATTTGGTTGTTAATTCAAACTTAATTCTATTGTGTTTTATGTTCACTTAGCACGGTATGTGCATCTGGTCTGGGACTGTAATAAATTTCATTCATTCATTCATATGGCTCACGTCATAGAAAGATGGAGGACAGGTTGTTTTCATTTATAAATGCCATTCTTAATCTGAATGGATTAGCTTCAAGTGAAACAACCCTAAATCAGACCTTGTAAAGATCTTGATAGATGCTGAGCTCCAAAAAAATACAACGCTTTGTCTTTTGGCTTAACTTGCTTCCTTAGGCACTGTGGTCTTTGTAATGTGAGAACTAAAAACACTTGGGTCTAACAAATGCCTATGCAGCTCTCTCAAATATATCAGGGGCCCCATAAAATCCCAGGAAGGGGTGGATATCTGGTGGGCATTTGGACCCAAAGGATCAGGAATGCTGTCTTAACTATGGACTCCTTGGGAGGGAAATCATAGGGAGAGATTGCTTGCTGTGTAAATATTGTTGCATATGGAATGTAAAGAGACACCACATTCCAGGGCGGGTAGCACTTTAAAATTGGGGTGGTCAGCTGCAAGTAGAACCCTTGCAAATGAATGCCTTGGGCAGCCCATTCAGGCAGCAAACTTACAGGCTTCAGG